GATGGCAAGGGGCCTTGAAAAAAAGATAGTCCGAAAGACTATAAGTAAGTAATCTGTAGAACCCAGAATTCATAATTCAAAAAAGAAAGCAGTTTTACTTACTAGTAGAAATTAACACTAATAAACCTCAAGGCAACAAAATAACAACGAAGAATTGGTACTCACCAATCGTAGCTCGCTGACGGATCTGCTGAGTGTCCATTCATGGCTGTTGACGAAGGCATCTGAAAGAGATAGAATAACTCAAATCTCTAGCCAGCAGGTATATGTTCACTCTATGATGATTTTTTCAGAAACATTTCATCATGATTTTTCGAACAAAAATATCCCTTAAGAATTTTAAAGCTGCTCGATTCTTAGATAACCATCCAGCTAAGCTATGGTCAGTGGAACAATGCGCAAAAGTTTGAAGTACACAATGAAAACATTTACTTCTCCTCCTCCTAGCTTTCCCATCGTGCTCTACCGTTCTCGGAGGCTTTGCTTCAGAAGACTCATATCGCTGCCGCTCCGCACGCTGATCACGATATCGTTTCCTCTCACGATTCGATTCAGGCATAAGAAAAATCGCTGCATCTGCGCTTGGAGCACGATTTCGAACATTTTTCGAAGAAGATGCAGGCGTATAATTATAGCCTTTCGTTAGCTGGCCATTCTTAGGCGTTTCACAACAATACTCGTCTTTCTTCAATGAATCCGGCCGGAACAGATCCCGTCTTGACGATCTTCCAAAAAGATCAATTAACGCTGCTCGTACCCGACCTTTCTTCTTCTTTGCTATTGTCGTTGGGTCATAGCACAGAGTTTGGCTATAATTTTCCGGGTCATGTATTGTCACATTCATGCGGTAAGTGTACGAGCAGCCAGGAGATTTTCCATGGACGCTACGGTTCAGATCGTAGGTGGGATTGTAAGCGTAGTAACCATCCTTATAGACATTTCCAAGATGGAGCAAGGATCCATAGCGAGATGGAGCTTCCACGGTCATGTCCGGGCGATAGTCGTGAGCGTAATATCGCATGAGTGGCATAGTGAAGACTGCGATGAGCAGTGGTAAAAAAGTCAGATGAATAGTAACTTCAGCTCGTCACATACCCCGAGTGCAATTCTGAAAATTAACGCACTTTCGCAGAAAAAAAAAGCCGCAAGCGTACGCCAGAGCATCGACAGGATAGATTGTGATCAATTTAGAATGCTGTTGGATTACGAGACACATCTAATGTATGATGGCTCGAAGAAAAAAATGATGGCTCGCATATCATCAGGACAAAGAAAAGATGCTATTCACAAACTGTGAGAATAAGGAATTCTACACAAAGAAA